GTTGGATGCGGCCCTGGGTAACGTGATCTAGTGCATGATCTACCAGATGGCAACCCTGTCCAAAGCAGGGAGATTGGAACTGGATGATTTTTGAGGTCCTTTCCAACCAAAGCCGTTGTACAATCCCATGATTATTTCTTCCAGGATTTATGTCAATGGGAAGAGATTGTTTCTTGCCTGACCCAGTTCTGCATCTCCTCTTTTGGTTTTAGGAAGTTTTCCACTGAGGACAGATTAAATATTCATTTTCTTCTCCATACATCTCTGTTTGGGATGGAGGTGACAGTCTTATCTACTCCATGTCTGTTAATTATGTCTGCTTCCGACTGTTCCCTCTTCTTGGATGTTCTATGATTCGCTTTAAGTTCAGTTGATCCCAACAGAGAGGGGCTAGTTCCTTCCTTTCAGCAGGTCTATGTGACTTTCTCTCACTGGCTTTTTAAAAGAGCACTGAATAATAAAATAATTCCAATTGTAAGGGTGCTCTGGAGAACAGTTGTCTTAGTGTCAATAAGAGCAGGCTCAATTTCGAACTTTGATATTGTTGCTTAGGGAAAGTAAACTTTTCAGTGTCAGGGAATTAAGATTTCAGAGCCTCTTCTGGCAGCCTGCAGCAGTGTTTGACTACAATCCATTACAAAGATCCTTTTCGCTAGTGGCTTAACATTCTGTGCTTCAGCCAGTGTTTGTTCTGTCTTCTATCATCGAATATTCTGGAGGAATTTGTTTCCAATTTCTCTGAATCTTCCCACTAAGTAGCTGACAACCGTAACACAATCCTCCCCTGAGTCTGTGCTTCTCTGGGCTGTGCAAATCTATCTCTGTAATGTTCTCACAATCTTCAGACACCTGCAATTTATGTGTCCATCTTCTTGACTCACTCCAGTATTTCAGTGTCTCTCTTCTATGGATTCCACTCAAAATTGGACAATGTTACACATATTTCTCGTGTGTGCAAAGGAGAATAATCTATTCCTTTAGCCTACTAGGTGCATGCTTACCAGTACAGATCAGGATGCCACTGATCTTCACTGTTACAAGGTGTCTTGCTCCAATTTATAGGAGGGAGAGGAGGTTCTTTTATCATCTATATACCTGGCGTGAGATTAAGAAGCAACGGTTCAAATGTTGGTCCGACCAGTTTATTACAAATCTTAATCAGGGAAATGGGGAAGGGGAGGACAGACACTGTTATGAATTAGGGTAATGGGGAAGGGAAGGAGGGCGATAGAAAAGATAGAAAAGAAGAGGCAAGGAGTCTTTATAGGCAGCAAGAGGGATATAGTCATCTACCAACAGTCCATTGAACAGCTTAAAGTTCACTCTTCCAAATTTCAAGGTCCTGACTCCACTCTTTGCCAGGTCCACATTCCTTGAGATCACAAACTCGATCAGGGCATGGACACTGCAGCCCAAGCTGCGTCCAGCCCTAATGCCTTTAATGATCTCCTGTGTATTGGTGAGCAGCAGGTCCAGCAACGCTTCACCTCCGGTCGGTCTGTCCAATACCTGGACCAGAAAGTTATCATCAATGGATTCCAGGAGCCTCCTGGACCTCTTGCAGCTCGCCATGTGGTCTTTCCAACACATATCCGGATGGCTGAAGTCCCCAGTAAGGATGAGAACCCATGAGCATGATGCCTCCCACATCTGAAGCAAGAAAGCCTCATCAACAGTCTCCCCTTGATCAGTTGGCCTGTAGTATATGCCTATCACCAGCTGGCCTTTGTTAGACCCATTCTTAATTAAACCCACAGACTCTCAACCTGCTCCTGACTGTTTCTCAGAGATTGACTGATAGATTGTCCTCACAGTCTATCCACTCTTTGACATAGAGAGCAACTCCCCCACTCTTCCTACCTCACCTATCCCTTCTAAAGAGTTGATATTCCTCAGTGGTGGTATTTTAGTTGTGGGAGTCATCCCACCATGTTTCTGTGACAGCAACAAGGTCATAACTTTCCAAGCACATCATAGTTTCCAACTTATCCCACTTATTTTGCAGGCTGTGCGCATTGGTATCAAGGCACTTCACCTGGGATTTCCATCTCACTGCCTTTATAAAAGATTTAAGATCCCCTAGAACAGCAGCATCCCGAGCACCAGTCCATCCCTTTGTACTGCACCATCATCGCCCATCAGGTTTGGTCCTGCTCAGCCCCTGCAGTCCTCATTTTATCCCCTTCCCCTTTCATACCTAATTTAAAGACCTTTCAATGAGTCCTGAGAGTTCCTCAGCTAAGATCCCCTTACCCCTCAGAGACAGGCTACTTCCATTTGCAGCCATCATGCCTGCTTCCAAGTAAGTTGCCCGGTGGTCGAAATCCCCAAATTCTAAGCCATTTATTTATGAGATGGGTTTTTTGGTATCTCTCAGTATCCTGCTCTGCCACTGAAGGAATAGAAGAAAATAACACCTGCACACCTGCTCCATCAACTACCCACCCCAGTCCCCTGAAGTCTTTCTTGATAGCCCTGAGACTTTTCCCAGCGACTTCACCAATGCCAGTCTGTATTATCAATAAGGGGTAATAATCAGAAGGGTGAATCAGTGCAGGAAGTTTCCTAGAAATGTCCCTGACCCGTGCCCCAGGGAGGGTCTTCCGTTCCTTTCAGCAGGAAGTTGCCTAAAACAATCAGCCTTCTGTCCTTGTGGGTGTATGCAGTCTTGAGGCGTGGGATTGACCACTTTACCCGAGGCAACCTCACGGTTGGACATCCCTCCACTCCTCACTCACCTCTCCCTTGAGTTCCAAGGCCTCAAACCTACTGCACAGAGACACCTGGGGAGCCATGGATGGTTGAGGTGGGGGATGCCCACTTTGCTAACCCAGTACCTGTCTACAATCCTCCTCCTTTCCCAAATTGTTGCTAGGGGGAAGAGAGGATGAGGGGGTCACTGCAGCACCATCAGCCTACCGGTTACCCTCTTCCACCTGACATTTCCCCTCTCCCACCTGTTTACGAGGCAGTGGGGGGTGACATAACATCCATAGCTAAGTCTACCCTTTGGTCTCTAGCCCATTTGCATGTTGCATCTCTTCCTTGATGGCCTGAGGTCTCGTGGGCCCACCGAGCTAGAAATAATTCGCTCTTGTGTTGCCAGTCCACGTCTATTTGAGCCACCTCAATTTTGGCAGCTCGATCTACCTGATGGTTATTTTGTTGTCTTCAGTAGCCCAACTGCTGGGCACATGAGCATCTACGTGGTGCATCTTTACAACCATGTTCCTTATTCGGGCAGCAATGTCTTCCAACAGTTCAGCAGCCCAAATAGATTTACCCTTCTGCTGCCAGTTATTTTTCTCCCACTGCTTTAATCACTCCCATAAGGCATTTGCCACCATCTGTGAGTGAGTATAAAGATAAAGCATTGGCTACCTCTCCCATTCAGCTACATCTAAGGCCAGCCTTTATCTCTGCAAACTGGCTTGATTCTCTTTTCCCTTCAGTGGCCTCTGCAACTTGTCGTGTGGGGCTCCACACAGCAGCTTTCCATCTGCGATGCTTCTCCACAGTACGACATGATCCATCTGTGAACAGGGAAAATTCCTTTTCATTTTCTGGTAGTTCACTGTATAGTGGGGTTTCTTTACCTCGTGATACCTCTTCCACTGGTGATGTTCTGAACTGTTTGCCTTCAGGCCAGTTCATGATCACCTCTAAGATTCCAGGATGATTGAGATTCCCCATCTGAGCTCGTTGCATAATCAATGCAATCCACTTAGCCCAGGTGGTATCAGTAGCATGATGGGTGGAGGGAACATATTAAACATCCAGTTGAGCACTGGTGGTCGAGGTGCCAGAAGGACCTGTGTATCAGTAGTGACTACTTCAGAAGCAACCCGAACCCCCCATATGCAGCTAAGATTTCCTTTTCAGTTGGGGTGTTGCCCTCTTCTGACCCTCAGTATGCTCTACTACAGAATCCGAGGGGTCAGCCTTGGGTCTCTCCTGAGGCTCTTTGCCACAGACTCCAAGTGGGACCTTTCTCTCCAGCAGCAGTGTAGAGGATGTTCTTTACGTCATGTGCTATCCATACTGCCCTAGGGCCAAGGCTCAGACTATCTCCTGTTTAATCTGCTCAAAAGTCTGCTGCTGCTCAGGGTTCATTCTTCTTCCATGTCACCTGATAAAGGTTTATAGTTTGGAATATGCATTCTCCAAAAGTCCACTATGCTCAAAAAAGATTGTGTCTCTTTCTTATTAGTGGGCGGAGGCATAGCCGTGATTTTGTCAATCATGTGTCCTGGGATGTGATGATGTCCATCTTGCCACCTTATCCCTAAGAACTGAATTTCCTGGGTAGGTCCTTTCACTTTGCTTCACAGAATCACAGAATCACAGAATTGTAGGGGTTGGAAGGGACCTCCAGAGATCATTGAGTCCAATCCCCCTGCCAAAGCAGGTTCCCTACACCAGGTCGCACAGGTAGGCATCCAGGCAGGTCTTGAACATCTCCAGAGAAGGAGACTCCACCACCTCCCTGGGCAGCCTGTTCCAGTGCTCCGTCAGCCTCACTGTAAAGAAGTTCTTGCGCATGTTTGTGCGTAACTTCCTATGCTGCAATTTCCAGCCGTTTCCCCTTGTCCTGTCTCCACTCACCACTGAAAACAGTCTGGCCTTGCCATTCTGCCCCCCACACCTTAGATACTTATAGACCTGGATCAGGTCCCCTCTCAGTCTTCTTTTCTCAAGGCTGAACAGACCCAGTTCACTCAGCCTTTCCTTATAGGAGAGATGCTCCAGGCCCTTCACCATCTTCGTGGCCCTCTACTGGACTCTTTCCAAGAGATCTTGTCTTTTCTGTACTGGGGAGCCCAGAACTGGATGCAGTACTCCAGATGAGGTCTTACCAGGGCAGAGTAGAGGGGGAGGATCACCTCCTTCGACCTGCTGGACATGGTCTTTTTAATGCACCCCAGTAAGCCATTGGCCTTTTTGGCCACAAGGGCACACTGCTGGCTCATGGCCAACCTGTCATCCACCAGGACACTCAGGTCCCTTTCCGCAGAGCTCCCCTCCAGCAGGTCATCCCCCAACCTGTACTGGTGCATGCAATTATTCCTCCCCAGATGCAAGACTCTACACTTGCTTTTGTTAAACCTCATCCAGTTTTTTTTTGCCCAGCTCTCCAGCCTATCCAGGTCTTGCTGAATGGCAGCACAGCCTTCAGGTGTGTCAACCAATCCTCCCAACTTCGTATCATCAGCAAACTTGCTGAGGGTGGCCATTATCCCTTCATCAAGGTCATTGATGAAGATGTTGAACAAGACCAGACCCAGCACAGACCCCTGAGGAACACCGCTAGTTACAGGTCTCCAACCGGACTCTGCACCACCAACAACGACCCTCTGTGCTCTGTCAGTCAGCCAGTTTTCAACCCACCTCACTGTCCACTCATCTATCCCACACTTCCTCAGCTTTGTTATAAGGATGTCGTGGGGGACAGTATCAAAAGCCTTGCTGAAATCAAGGTAGACTATACCCACTGCTCTTCCCATATCCACCCAGCCAGAGACAACATCATAGAAGGCTACCAGATTGGTCAAGCACGACCTCCCCCTTGTGAACCCGTGCTGACTACTCCTGATAACCTCCTCTTCTTCCAGTTGTCTGGAGATGACATCCAATACAAGCTGTTCCATCACCTTTCCAGGGACAGAGGTGAGGCTGACTGGCCTGTAATTGCCTGGGTCTTCCTTCTTGACTTTTTTGAAGACCGGGGTGACGTTGGCTATCTTCCAGTCTTCAGGCACCTCCCCCGTCCTCCAAGACCTCTCAAAGATGACAGAAAGCAGTTCAGCAATCACCTCTGCCAGCTCCCTCAGCACCCGTGGATGAATCCCATTGGGTCCCATGGATTTGTGAACAATGGTGTTGCCTAGGCGCTCTCGGACCACCTCTTCCCTGACAGAAGGGAGGTCTTCCATTCCCCAGATCCTCTCACTAACCTCCAGGGTCTCAGATTCCCGAGGGGGAGCTTTTTCACTGAAGACAGAAGCAAAGAAGGCATTCAGTATCTCCGCCTTCTCAGCATCCCCCGTTACCAGAACACCCCCGTCACTTAGCAGGGGAGCCACATTCTCCCTAGTCTTCCTTTTACTGTTAATGCACTTGAAAAAACCTTTTTTATTATCCTTTATCCCCTTTGCCAGATTTAATTCCAGGTGGGCTTTAGCCTTCCTTGTCGCATCCCTGCAGGTCCTGACAACATTCCTGTATTCTTCCCAAGTAATCAGACCCTTTTTCCCCATTTCATAGGCCTTCTTCTTTCCTTTGAGTTTGTGCACGAGCTCCTTGCTCATCCACACAGGTCTCCTGCCACCCTTTCCCGATTTCTTCCTCACAGGGACACACCGATCCTGAGCTTGGAAGAAGAGCTGCTTAAATGCCGACCAGCTCTCACAGGCCCCGAAAGAGATCGAAGTTGGCTCTCCTAAAGTCCAAGATAGCAATCCTACTTTTTGCTTTACTTCTTCCACTCAGGATCTTGAACTCCACCATCTTGTGGTCACTACCACCCAAGCTGCCCCCGACCTTTACTTCCCTGACAAGCCCTTCTCTATTAGTGAGAATAAGGTCCAGCAGTACCCCTCCCTCTCCTCGTCGATTCCTCAACCACCTGCATCAGGAAGTTGTCTTCAACACATTGCAGGAACCGTCTGGACCGCGCATGCCTGGCCACATTGCTTTTCCAGCAAATATCTGGATAATTGAAGTCCCCCATAAGCACCAGCACCTGGGACCGTGACGCTGCTTCCAACTGTTTGTGGAAGGCCTCATCAACCTCCTCCTCCTGATCAGGGGGCCTGTAGCACACACCCACAACGGTGTCAGCCGTACCAGCCCGCCCCTTGATTCTTAACCACAAGCTCTCCACTGCTACACCACTCTCCCCCAGGTGGAGTTCAATACATTCAAGCTGATCTCTTACATAAAGAGCAACTCCACCACCCTGCCTCACCAGCCGATCTTTCCTAAAAAGCACATAGCCCTCCATGACAACATTCCAGTCATGCCAGCTGTCCCACCACGTCTCTGTGATCGCAATTAGATCGTAGCCATGTGACCGCACGCAGATCTCCAACTCTTCCTGTTTATTTCCCATACTGCGTGCATTAGTATATAGACACTTCAGGGAGGCAGCATTTCCCTGCCACACTCCATCTCTTTGAACTTCACCCTCGTCACCCATCAAGTTCACTTTTGAACCTTGAACTACCTGAACCTCAGCAGTCCTCATTTTGTCCCCTTCCCCCTTCTTACCAAGTTTAAAGACCTTTCAATGAGGCCTGCCAGCTCCTGGGCTAGGATCCTTTTACTCCTTGTAGACAGTTGAGTTCCATCTGCAGCCGTCATGCCAGGAGCCGAGTAAATTGCCCCATGGTCAAAAAAACCAAAGTTCTTCTGCCTGCACCATCCTCTAAGCCATTTATTGATGAGGAGGGCTTTTTTGATCCTGTCAGAGTCCTTCCCCGCCACTGAAGGGATAGAAGAGAAGACCACTTGCATTCCTGCACCATCCAGTACCCTCCCCAGGCCCTTGAAGTCATTTTTGATTGCCCTTAGGCTTCTCTTGGCAGTATCATCACTGCCAACCTGAACTACCAATAAGGGGTAGTAGTCAGATGGGCGAATAAGCCCAGGCAGCTTTCTAGAGATGTCCCTGACCTGTGCCCCAGGAAGGCAGCACACTTCCCTCCGGGTGGGGTCAGGACGACATATCGGGCCCTCAGTTCCTTTTAGAAGGGAGTCTCCTACAACTGTCACCCTCCTTTCTTTACCAGAAGAGGCGGTCTTCAAGCGTGGAGCCGACTGCTTCTCCTTAGCAAAGCTCAGAGGCTGTTCCACCACCTTGTTCTCAGCCTCCTCACCCTCCAGTTCCAGAGTTTCAAACCCATTACTTAGGGGCACCTGAGGAACCGAGGTAGGTTGGGGAGGGCGCCGCCTGCATCGCTGAGGTGGGACATGCTGCCATTCCTCTTCTCCTCCCAAGTCAGCTCTCTTGGTTTTACTATGGTAAGGCAGAGAATCCACTACAGGATGGGGGTTGCAATCTCTGCTTGTTTCTTGCAGAGAGTTACACCACCAGTCTATCTCCCTATCGCAGTCCCTAATGGATCTTAACCGCTCCACCTCCTCCCTAAGCTATACCACAAGGCTGAGCAGCTCATCCAACTGTTCGCACCTCACGCAGGTGGCATCCCTCCCATTGTCCCCCGGCAGCAGCAGACTCAGTCACTCCCTGCAGCCAGAGACTTGAACCACTGCAGTTCTGGGCAGTCCCTCTGTCAGGGTCGCCGCAGACTTGTTGGAGCATGCCTGATGCCTGGTAGAGACCATGTTTGAACTTACAGTCACTGGGTCAGCGAGTGGGAGAGCGGTCACCTGAACAAGGACAAGAACAATTACGTGTCCTGCCACAAGACCAACCTTCCTCACCTACGAGTGCGGCAATGGGCAGCAGGGGCTGTGCTCACACACTGCCTGTACTCCTTGTTAGCAGTTAGTAGTGGGCAGCAACACCCTTTTTTCACCGGGTACGCTAAGTACGGTAAGTGGGCGAGAGCTAGCTCTTGCCCTCCCAGGGGCTGCTTATAGCCTCACAGAAAAGGGTCAAGGTTAATCACAGAGATAAGAGATAAGAGTGGGCGGTGCCGGCTCCACCCCTGCTGTCTCAGCAGCCCGCACACCAGCTGTCAGCTGCTGCCACCTCCAGCACCAGCACAGTACTTTTACTGGTTCAAAAACAGCTCTAAAAAGAGCTTTTTGGACAGCCTTTTTGGCTTTTTTGGCTTTAGCTCCCTTGCCCAGTGCAGTCTTACCTGCCCTGAAGCTGGTCTCCGCAGCAAAGCTTCACTTAATAGCGAAATCGGCATGCAGAAGGATCTGGATTATTTGCTCTCTGACTCGCTCCAATTTATAGGAGGGAGAGGAGGTTCTTTTATTGTCTATATACCCGGCATGAGATTAAGAAACAATGGTTAAATGTTGGTCTGACCAGTTTATTACAAATCTTTATTAGGGAAATGAGGAAGGGGAGGACGGACACTATTATGAATTAGGGTAATGAGGAAGGGAAGGAGGGCAATAGAAAAGACAGGAAAGAAGAAGCAAGGAGTCTTTATAGGAAGCAAGAGGGAGATAGTCACCACCATGGATCCAGTGAGGTTCATAGTTCAGTCTTTGATCTTCAGTAGTGGTGGGTCGTCAGGCAGAGTCATTCTATTGATGGCGATGACGATGACGACCATGGCGATGATGGCCCCTTTTCAATAGTTTCAAAGGGGTTGAGTTAGCTGTCTTTGAAGTGACAGCTCAAACCCAAGGTGGTTGAGTCAGCTCTCCTTGGAGTGGCAGCTTCTGGCTCCGGGATCTCAGCAGAAATTCTTTTGTTCCCACCTTCCTGGCCTTGCCAGCAGGTAAGAGGGAGCAGGGATGCCCATCTGCATCCTGTTTCTCACAGAACACGATAGTATCATTCCCCAATTCTCCCATACCTAGCTGGAGCTGTTTGGTCACAGGCCAGATCTTCTGCCAGTGAACACTCCTGAGCACTCTCTTCCGCTCTTCTACAGAGCAAGCAGCTCTAGCGGAAAGGGCTTTCAAGTGTTTCCAAAGCGATATCCATTGTCACACAGTTAGCATCCATCCGTTGCCTCCTTGACAAATCACTCAAAGTCTTATCACAAGAAAAACCTCAGGAAGCAAGCTTTGAGCCAAAAAACAAAGAAGGATTCTCACACTCTCCATTCTCAAAAACTTTCCTTGCTGTGTTGCCACACAGAATAATGTCATCAAAGTACTGTAAGGGCTCAGGAGCACTGCCATGTTCCAGTGCAGCTTGAATCAACCCATGGCAAATTGTTGGAGCAAATGATTCCAGGTATACTGAACGTCCTCCAGGTGAAAGCAAACTGTGGGCTACATTCTGTGGCCAAAGGAATGGAAAAGAAGTCATTAGCAATGTTAGTGATGACATACCACTTGCCAGTTTTTGACTCCAATTCATATTGGAGTTCTAACATGCCCAGTACAGCATCATTCAGTAGGGGTGTGACTTCATTCAAGTAATCTACCATCAGCCTACATTCTTGTGAGAATCCTTCTTTGTTTTTTGGCTCAAAGTTTGCTTCCTGAGGTATTTCTTGTGATAAGACTCTGATTGATTTATTGAGGAGGCAAGTGATGTGTGCTACGGTGTGACAATCAACATCACTTTGTGGACATTTGAAAACTCCTTCCTCCACAACTGCTTGCCTCCAGAAGAAAGTGCTCAGGACTGCTTACTGAAAGAAGACCTAGCCTATGACTAATAGCTCCAGCTTGGTATGGGAAAACTGGGGAATGATACCATCATGTCCTGTACAAAACAGGATGCAGGAAGGCATCCCTTCTCCCTCTTATCTGCTGGCAAGGCCAGGAAGATAGGGAAAAGGAGTTTCTGCTGAGATCCCGGATCCAGAAACTGCCACTCCAAGGAGAGCTGACTCAACCACTTTGGATTTGAGCTGTCACTCCAAAGACAGCTGACTCAACTACTTTGGACTTATAAATAAGTTGGCACTGCCATTGAAAAGTGGCCATCATCGCCATGGTCATTGTCCTCAACAGAATAACAGTGCCCAATGACCTACCACTACTGAAGATCAATAACTGAACTACGAACCACTCTGGATCCATGGTGGTGACTATCTCCCTTTGGCTTCCTACAAAGACTCCTTTCTTCTTCTTTCCTATCTTTTCTATCACCCTCCTTCCCTTCCCCAATACCTTAATTCATAGTAGTGTCTGTCCTCCCCTTCCCCATCTCCCTGATTAACATTTGTAATAAACTGGTCAGACCAACATTTAACCATTGTTTCTTAATCTCACTCCGGGTATACAGACATTAAAATAACCTCCTCTCCCTCCCATAAATTGGAGCGAGACAATTCTCCACTGGCTTTAAGCACTGGCCGTAGTGTGCTTTTAAAAGGCAAGTGAGTTTTGCTGATCACTCCCTGACTCTCTAGTTGACGAATCAACTTATGAAAGGGGAGCAAGGAATCCCTGTTGGTGTGATATTGCTGTCTGTGCACTGTTTTTGTGGCAATTGGTACTCCTCTTTTTGTTACCTCTGTTGGTCTTATGGATACTGCTGTATCCTGAGCAACTGGAACAATTACCTTTCTGGAGGAGTTCACCCTGGTGGTTAATCTGTCTTGTAATTCTTTTACCCATGCTTGAAGTGCAGGAATGAGTTTTTTATGCCACTTCTTCATATCTTCTCCATGGTCATGTAGGTAATGCCACAAGGAAAAACATGATGTAGCCTTACTGTTGTCACTTGCACGAGCAGGAGGACGTCTGTTGATAGCTGAGACATTGGATGATGCAGGCTGGGTAGAAAGCAAGTTGATCAGCC